GATGAGGCTCATACGGGAAATTACCCTCTGCCTCTAATTGAGGAACATTGAACATTGAACTTCTCCCGTTTCTTTTTCAGGCTGTTTGAGAGTCGACGTTGCACAAGTCACCTAACCCTGTTTGAATCTTGTGCCGTAGGGGTCCGTCGAATAGTTTTTCCTTCATGGATACTGATTCCTGAGATATCCAGTGATTCGGACGGGTGTAAGGCTCACCTCTACAAGTAACGTTCACTGCTGAATGCATTTCTGTTTCATCTAAAACATGAAGCTGAGACGCGTTTAGCCCAAGTCCTAGATTTGATTCATGATGAGCACGAACTGCGGAGTCAGACAAGCAGTGATGTGCTAACCGAGCTTGCTGCTTTTTCGGCGACCAGTGAGTCGAAGCGTGGATTCCATGAAAACCAATGCGTACTGAATTTCAACGTAGGTGCTCCAATACGGCTTGAAATTTGTACTGAGCTACACGAATGGTAGTTTACTGCTATGTGGTCAATTCGAGCCAGTTTAACATGTTAATTAGAATGTCACGTTGCCATCAGTTGATAACTGTATCAAAAGTTGTTACTTGACAGGAAAAGATGGTATTCTGCGCAGAACTGTATTATTCGGTCGCCGTTATCTGTTTCTTGGCACAACAGAGCACAACGTCCACTTCGGCAAGCATCTTAAGTACCTAGTCTTTCGATCCGCACGGGTAAACTCAATTGCAAGCGAAACCGTATCGGGGCTTCGGCTCGACTGAATGAGTTCGAGGAGTTTGTCGTAGAAACCATCCATTTTGTATCAGAACTGCAATAAGTCGATGCATATACTGGGATAGGGAACAAACATTTTTGGTGTTACTTCCCTTCTAGGACGCGCTGATTGACCCCTGAACCCTCACCACACAAACAACTGTTGACGGGAATCCAATCGATAAGTGACGTCTCGGTTTTATTATCGAGTGAAAAACATATTCCCGAATTACCGGCTAAGTAAGCTTCATCATCACCTAATGTGCGGAGGAATTACCTCGAGAAAAAATCCGGTGCATTAATTAGTACTAGAATCCTGGATTCGTGTCTCCGATACGTAGCAGACATCATTTGCTAAACAGTTCTTTGTACCTATCAGCCATCCATTTGCATCAGAGTCTTCACATTGACGATTCCATGATGATTCTATGGTCAAACAAACGTTGGGATGTCTTAACCGTAGCTCGACCCGCCCCCGAAGCAATGGACAGCGCTGTCCTGGTTATCAGTCGCGATGACCGATGCAATATGGACTTATTTAATATTTCTGTGTTTACTGGAGCTTTATGAATTGGATCTGCTTGGGTGTCCAGCCACTAAACGGGACGACAATTATGGTTCTCGTTCAAAGTCTTTAGCTCTGATAAGAACCTGACAACAAGGCAGCGGGTGAGTCGAACCGGAAGTCCGGTCACTTGTATCGTTTCTTTCTTCATCATTTGGTTAACGACAGGGATTGTAATTCGCCTAAGAACAGAATCAAATGGATAACGAAGTTAGACAGAAAAGATGAAAGGGCAAGCATGACGAACATCTATCTGCCTCTTTGGTGAACCCGAGCGAAACAGTGCCGTACACACGAGCTCGATTTTCACCATTAGTACGAAGGGATCGCAGTATTGAGATAAATATCTGAGGCATACCCCTCGGGGAGAAGCAATGCTAGTGTACGGAGCGGTGGACTGATTCCACATCTGTTTTCAAGTTGGGGAAGATTGAAATGGTAGTCTACGAAAAGAATGTCGGTGTTCGAGAATTTGGTGAAAGGTGAACCACATGTCATGAATGATATATTCATATTGATCGCTGCGCTTGTTAACATATCTGGATGCAATCTTGGACGAGATCGTTCCTTAGTGAACTTGGGCTCCTATGTTACACAGATAAATTGAATAAGAACACATCGAGGAGTGACAGAGGAGTTAGTGACCTGAAATGGACGGATACAATGCACTTACCGGTTATCAGATATTCCACCGCGTTATGATTGTCGTTAGCAGCCACGTCGGCATATCGATACATGCTTCCGGCCTCTACTTGTCGCCAGCGTACCTGAGACAGAGAGCAAG